ATATACTGGATCGGAGGTTGACCGCAGGAGCTTGCTCGGATCAAATTAAACCTTTGGAGAAGTAGGTGGCCACAACCGTTGGCAGAACGAAGTATGGTTTAATTTGGAACTAGAGCGAGAAATTAATACATATGTATGTACATATGCCACGGGAACTCGGACTGGGATGGAAAACTCGCACAAAATTACTGCACTGGTGTTGGGCTTACTTATCTTGAATTTGTAGCGATCCGCCGATGCTGGCTGGGGTAAGCTTCTCCTTATGGGGAAGGCGAAGATCCGGCTCGAAGGACCATTGTTTATAGGGGGGCGGATCGAGGTTCAATTATCGAACGGCGTTTAAACTCTGGGTATTCGTGCGGTATGTCGACCGGTTGCAGCGGGGCTGAAAACGTAACTACTACTTATGGTGATTTTTCTGCCGTGAGCGCCGTGTGAATCGTGGATTGTGGATCCGAGCGCCCCTCCGAGCGCGCGAGAGCGAGCCGGGCCCGAGGCGCGCGGAGCCGGCACAGTGCGCGAAAACTGTATACTGCTGTCCTGAACACATTATAATAACCATTGATTCTACTTTACTGGCGCCCAACGGAATTTCATCCAACGCGAGTGATTGTTTAAAAACGATTGTTTATGCCAACGCTTCGGTTTTAACAAAAATAAAATAAACAACAAGTGAGTTGAAATTAATAATTAAACCTACATTTTAAAGGAGCTGAAGGGCAATCCCTCGCTCCCGGCATCAACGTCTAAGGTAAAACAGACTGAAGGGCAATCCCTCGCCTCAAAACGTAAAAACAACAAGCTGAAGGGCAACCCCTCGCTTCCCACATCGCCACCCACAATGAAATAATTAGATCGAATAAAACACGGAAAAAAATTTCAATTGCAGCAGCATATTGCTACTGCACTTCACAGAAGGTCCAAAGCATCCAACGAAAATGCGGCTACTTCCAGCAACACGTCCAGCAGCTTTTCAGATAATTCAAACGATTAATTTAAAATGGATCTATGTACAGCGTTGATTGCGGCAAATATACCATGGAATGTGCTTAGTAATGGTACATTTAATAATTTTCTGAAAAAATACACCGGGCAACAAATTCCTGATGAGAGTACTCTTAGAAAGAATTACTTGGATAAATCCTACCAACAATCTATTCAAAAAATTCGCGAAAATATAAAAGACGATAACGTTTGGATATCAGTGGACGAAACTACGGATAAGCAAGGGCGATATGTCGTAAATTTGATTATAGGAACATTAAGCGAAAAGGAATCTTCATCCTCATTTTTATTGTCCTGTAAACAGTTGGAAGAAGTAAATAATGCAACTGTTTCTCGATTTGTGAACGACAGCATTCGTATATTGTGGCCTCACGGGAATGAGTTAAAAGTTTTGTTACTCTTAACTGATGCTGCGGCATATATGATAAAAGCTGGTAAAAATTTAAAGGTTTTTTATCCGAATCTCATACATATAACTTGTTTAGCACATGGATTAAATTTAATAGCTGAAAAGGTAAGAACATCGTTTGATGTCGCTAACTCGTTTATATCCTGCTCAGAGTACAACGCTACAAACAAATACTCAATAAGGAGTTGCCACCAGAACCGATCATAACCAGATGGGGTACATGGTTGAAGGCGGCATCATTTTATGCAGACAACATAGACGGAATAAAAGAGGTTTGTGAACAAAAAACATTTTAGTTTGATAAATAAAAAGATTATAAATTTGCATTTTAGGTTCTTGAAACACTGAACCCAGAATATGCTGAATCCATTAAGCTGGCGAAGGAGCTGGTAGAAAATCCACAGCTACATCAAGAATTTATATATACAAAATCCCACTTCGAGAGAGTTGCCGAAATAATAACAGCATTGGAAGCGAAGGGGCTACCATTAGAAACGTCAATGGACTTATTCAAGGAAGCTGAAAATATTGTTTATAACATAACTGGTGATTTTGGAATGGATTTAAAAAAGAAATTTGAAGCAATTTTGAAAAGAAATCCTGATTTTAAAATCATTTCAAAAATAAATATATAAAAATAAAAATATAAAAATAAATAAATAGTATATTAAATCTAAATGCTGAAGATCTGTCTGGAATCGAACCAGTCACAAACGAAAATATTTTAAAATATAAATTTGCTCCAATTACTTCCTGTGACGTTGAAAGAAGCTTTTCCGCGTACAAAATGATTTTTGGAGAGAAACGTCAGAGCCTCTTAATAAATAATTTAGAGAAAATTTTAGTTGTTTACTGCAATACAAATTATTTCTAATAAATTTTTAGCCTTTATTCTATCGTATGTTTTAAGTATCTAGTTTAATAGCAAAAAATAGTTAATAAAATTTCAATACCTATGTATACTACCTTCTAAATCGCTTTTAAATTTTTCTTTGAATTGATTAACATAGGAAATTGTTGCATATGTTTTGCATAATTTGCATATACTTTGCATATTTTGCATATTTTTTACATAATTTGCATATATTTTGCATATTTTGGCATATATTATGCATATGCATTTCATGCAAATATGCAAAAAAATGAAAATATGCAGATCGTTTTCAAATCTACTTTTCATGAAACGAACTTTAGTGTCATCAGAATTTTTCTATCTTAATCCTTTAAAAATATGCAAATATGCAAAATCCGAGGTCTAGTAATGAGAGAGAGCTGCTTCTCAATCTCGTCATAGTATTACGCCAAGGACAGGTTTCCCTGCCGCATGGTGGCCAGTTTTTGTTGTATCACGCTCACTGGAGTTTTGCCGGAATACGAACTAATCTATTCAAAATTGCCTTGAAAATTAAAACTGTATTGAAAGATGACAGGACGTTATTTGCGGCCCCTTTTATTTTATTCCTGATTATGCCTGTCGCCATGTAATGTGTAGCGCTGCCCTCATAGGGCTCGAAAGTTTTATAGGCCGCCAGCGCTGCCTGGCGACAAGCCACATAATTTTCCTGTTTGCCTTCGAACTCGGGGACGGACTTAACCATGTCCAATGGCTGATCACACTGGACATCGGGACTTATTGCTATCTCCTTATACGCTTCAACTTTAGAGGCAGGCGTACCTGTGCTCAACTGAGCAATCTCAGCTTGTAATTGCTGTAACCTGGTCTCGAACCACGAGGCCTGATTTTGCAGTGCGGCCTCTATAGCTGCTGCGAAAGTTGCCGGATCCATGATGTCAGGGGAACGTTCGTTGCTTCCAGTCAAATGGAGGCCCCTTAGACACAAACGTAAACTATCGTCGCTATCGGATTGTTCTTGCTTGCTATCACCTGGGTCTTGCAGGTTCTCACACAGTGAAACTAAGCTATCGGACAGCTTAAAGGACTTGAGGTCACTATTGGAACTGTTAGGGCTATTGCCCATTAGCAACTTCTTGTTTTATTTGTATTTTTTATTTCTTTAATGAATTTGATTTTGATTTTAAATATCTCAGCTGCACCACTCAGTGCTCTTTTATTTTTATTGGGTAGCGATTACCAAACTGCTCGAATAAAATTTTACAAAAAGAGCTCACTTACATGGTTTTCTGCGGCTTGTACCGTGTTTTATTCGATCTAATTATTAGTTTTCTTCAACTAACTATTAATTTCATTGTGGGTGGCGATGTGGGAAGCGAGGGGTTGCCCTTTAGCTTGTTGTTTTTACTTTTTGAGGCGAGGGATTGCCCTTCAGCCTGTTTTACCTTAGACGTTGATGCCGGGAGCGTGGGATTGCCCTTCAGCTTGTTCTTGGTGTGGTTTTTGTCCACCTTCGTTGGATAAAATTCCGATTGATGCGGGGATGTTAATCTAATAGCTTTGACGATTAGCTCAAGACTGCCCATGCAAGGGCTGACGGGCCAATCTTCCGGGCCCTATGCAGCAAGCTTAGACGCGAGCGAGAGCGTATGATAGCCCGAGAGCGTTAGAGCTGCTCGGGGACGCTGTTAAGCCGAGTCCGAGAGATTGCGACATAAAGAGACGAAACAATTCCGCTTCATGCGCATATGCGGTAGAAAATTATCTTTGCAGTGGGGGGCATTGGAAACGACAACACCAAAATGCATTTCCTTTGGGCCGCACCACTGGCAATGATTTAATTAAATATTTTAAATCATTGCCAGTGGTGCTGCTTGACCCGATATGACCTAAGTCGAGAATTCCATTGGTGCACAAATCGCTAATGTCAATTCTTGCTATAACTTTATTTCCTCGCTTGAATAAACATTGAGATTCAGTTATTCTCAAGGTCGCTACTATTCGTCATTTCTGGTTACTTCATGTGCGTTGGTCTTAGAAGCGTTTACAAGAGATTGCCTAGCCAAATTATCTTGTCCTTTTCCTACGCTGGATTTATTCTGTTTACTTTGATTTCTTGTAGTGGCTTTTAATGCACTTGCAGAGATGTTTTTAAAATCAGTTATTGTGATGCGTGATAATGGATCACTTCATGCATGAAGAAAGAGCATTTTTCAGGATGTAATTTAAGGTTGTGTTTCCTACGTAAATCGAAAACATTTGTTAAGTTTTTGATCATGTGTTTTTCGGAACAACCGATTACTATTGGGTCATCCATGTACAAGAATGCTTGCGAAAGATCTAATCCTGAAAATGCTATTGTCGTCATTCTTTGAAAAGAATTTGGCGCTATTTTTCCTCGAATATTAGTCTAACAGTTTTCTTTCCTGTATGTTCTTGTTTGATTCAGTTAACGCGCTGCGCGTCATGCAACATCGCCCCTTGGTCGGTTGGAGGAGGGCTGCGTTTTTGCCTGAGATGCGCGCGCAACAACCTTCTGCTGTCAGAAAAACATCGATTTTTGAGAATAAACATCGATGTCTGCTGTCTACACCCAAACATCGATGACTTCGATGTTAGCATCGTTGTTTCTCCAGCTCTAATCCAAATCATTTTCAGGAATGCCCTAACTTTGTTCTGAATAGTTGTATATTTTGACGTGTAGGATTAGGGCTTTCCAGAAGTAAGGGTTTTGTATGTCTGTGCTCGATTGCATTCAAAGCAAAATTAGTAAAGAATTAAACGAAAAAATTAAAATTAATATACGTGATGCAGATGTAAAATGTATACAACCAAATCGAGCTCCCACTAAACATAAAAGTATGTATGTATTTTATTGCTTAGTGATATCTGTCGATGTAACTATTTGACATGTTCCGAACAAACTTACATAAATAAGACTAAAAACAAAACAATTGGGATAATGGGAATTTTGACATTAACTACTCGTAGAGTAAGGTTAATTTAATTCGTTCTAATGTACGTACATATATATATATGTATGTACATATATGCATATGTGCATAATAGTAGTCTGAAAATCCCAAACACAAATCTAAGCGATTCTGTGCACGGACATCATGGCTCCGTAGACACAGAACTAGAGCAAAAAATAAAATCGACAAACTCTTAAAAAATTCTACTTTCTGTATCTCTTTTGATAATTTTTTAATTTCAAATTGTTGGTAATGACCCCAACAATTTGTAGAAAAGCTTGGGTCGATTTGTCTTAAGCCTGGCTTTCGTCTGAAGATTAGTGTATGTATTATCCCTAATGATTGATTGAGATGGATTTTCATCCCCACCGAGAATCATACATATGTACATACACATGTACATACAATACATATGGTGTACCATGTATTTGTTTTCATATGTATAGTGGCTCAGCTTAAATGAACCAGAGCACGTTTTACACTTCAAAGTGTTTTAACTTTTAAGTTATTTAATCTACCATTACAAATTAAATGTACAGTGGGTAACTTTAATATTCGGCATTTTTTTTTTCAACTTCAAACGCGAATAAAATGCATTAAACTACAAAAAAATAAAAAAATTTTAATGAGGGAATAAAGCTTGAAGTTTTACCTTTTCAGAGAGGTATATATCATAATGATTTTATTTTAAATGAAGATAGAAAATATAATTAAACAAAAAACGCCTCAAAATATGCGTTACATTAATATTCGGCATTACCTTATACCACTAAAAAATAACTACTTAATCTAGAAAAATAACTTAATTTAATATTTTGTGTGATAGCTAGGCGTTTTAGCATATTTTTTATTATATTTTTTGTATATTCATGACCAATTTTGGGCCACTCTTCTTGAAGCCGTTTCTTCAGCTCGGGTATGGACGATATTGGTGTCTTATGCACACGGCGGTCCAGCTCACTCCACAAATTTTCGATGGGGTTTAGATCAGGTGATTGGGGTGGCGTATCTATGACCTTTGGGCAGTTGTAAAGCAGCCAGGACCTTATCTTATGGGCCCTATGTTTCGGGTCATTGTCCTGATATAACTTGAATGTTTCGGAAATGCCCATTTTCTGCGCCGACTGCTTTAAATTTTCTCTCAAAATTTTTAGATATTGTTCCTGGTTCATTATCCCTTCAATAAAAACCAGATTCCCTACTCCTTTTGTCGAAATGCAGCCCCAAATCATAACGCTCCCACCGCCGTGTTTCACTGTTGGTCTTAGGTGTTCCTTATGCAGCTCCGTATTGGGTTTTCGCCAAACCATGGTCTTGCCATCACTGCTAAAAATGTTAAACTTGCTCTCGTCTAAGAATATAACATCATTCCACCAGTTTTGGTCCTTTTTGGAGTACTCCAGGGCAAACGTTTTCCTTTTTTTCCGGTTGCGCTCACAGAGTAAAGGCTTTTTTCGTGCAACTCGGCCGTTGTCCCCTTGTTTTTTAATGGTGCGTCGGATAGTTTGGGCTGAAACGGTCTTTCTGTGGTCGACAAATAATTCAGCTTTTAATTCCGGTTTGCTTAATTGATGCGATTCTTCCTTCATTTTTGAACCTGCGGACGATGTCACCGATCGTATTCAGCTTCATTTTCAGAATTTGGGCAGTTTCTTTGTAGGTCTTGCCCTCTAAATGCAACTGGAGCACAAGTTTTCGCTGCTCCAAGGATGAATTAATCCCTTTACGGCCCATTTTAATTTTAGGTGGAACAATTCGATTTAGCGGTGTGCTTGCTGATCATGAATGTAAGTCAAGTGTTTGTTTTTCGGGGAAACCAATTTTTTGTGCCATTTGGGGCTATTTGGAGTTGCCACAGGGTTTTATGATGCGATTTCCCAAAAATGCCGAATTTAAAGTGACGCAAATTTTGAGCTTTTTTTTTGTTTTATTATATTTTCTCTATTCATTTAAAATAAAATCATTATTATATATACCTCTCTGAAAAGGTAAAACTTCACGCTTTATTCCCTCATTAAAAGTATTGAAAAGTATTTAAATTTGAAAAAAAAAATTTTATTTCATTATGAAGATGGATATTACTACTACTAATTTCAAATCTAAAAACAAAAAAAACCCTCTTTGGCATATCCAGCTGCTGCTATACACCCCCAAACCATTACATTTCCACCGCCATGCCTCACTTCATTTCCGATGTAAACAAAAAAGAAAAGATTGGAGTTCGCAAAACTTCACTTAAATAAGCCAGATTCTTTTTGGGAGAATGTTATATTTAGTGAGGAGTCTAAATATAATATATTCGGACATAATGGACCATCCAAAGTATGGAGAAAGGATAATCAAGCCATGAAAGAGAAAGACCTCATCCCAACAGTGAAGCATGGCGGTGGAAATGTAATGGTTTGGGGGTGTATAGCAGCAGCTGGACCTGGGCCAATGGTGTTTATTGAGACCAAGATGGACAAACACATCTACAAGAAAATTTTGACTGACAATTCAATGGCGAGTGTCAAAAAATTTGGTCTTGAAGCCATGAATTTCTTGTTTCAACAAGACAATGACCCCAAAAATACCTCATTTTGGTTCAAGAATGGATGTTGTATCAGTGCAAGCAGTTAAAAACGCCGCCGCAGTCACCAGATCTGAACCCCATAGAGCATGTTTGGGATTTGCTAGAAAAAAAATTAGGAAACATAAAATTTCCTCCAAGGAAATCCTTAAAACGGCTCTGATGACGGAATGGGAGAAAATTAATCCAAATGAAACCAATCATCAACCAAGCTGTTATTCGGCCCCACCAAATATTGAAATCAGAAAAAATTGGGGACAATAAGTTTTTTTCGTACAAAATAAAAAGTGTCCGAATAATTGTTGTGCGTAAAAAAGTGGCCTTTTTGATACTTTTAATTTTTTTTTGGTATGCCAAAAAAGTTTTTTTTTTTGTTTTTAGATTTGAAATTAGTAGTAGTAATATCCATGTTCATAATGAAATAAAAATTCGTTTTCAAACTTAAATACTTTTCAAGTTATTTATAAAGAAAGTTGATATAGACGAGTGTCCGAATAAATGTTGTGCTGACTGTATCTCTGCGTACACTTAGAAAACGAACTACATATTCATGTTTAGTTGCGGATAACTTCTAATATAAGGCACTTTGGGCAACGATTTTTTTTTATAATATTCTTTGCTTATTTCTAAACCCATCTACATTTGTTTTTTATTCAATAAAACAAACTTAATAGGAAAAAAAAATCATTAAAAAAAACATAAGACAAATTTGACACCTCAAAAGTCTGCGTACACTCTAACAATTCTGCGACTAACACGACTAAAATTCTAAGTTGTTAATATTTTGTGGGTTCTTCCTATCGTTTTAAAACATCTGCCAGACGTCTAGGCTTTGAGTCAACCAGATTCCTGGTGTCCTCGGCAGTTATTTTGCCCCATTCCTCCAGGATAACTTCCTTCAGCATGTTTTTAGAGCTTATGGTGTGCTTACGAATCCTGCGATCGAGTAAATCCCATAGATATTCTATGGGATTCAGGTCTGGGGACTAAGGGGGCGATCGAAGCTCATTTTGTACATTGTAAAGCAAACAGAGCTTAACATTGTGGGCAGTAGCGTCGGATCATTGTCCTGTTGGCAGCAAAAGTCGTCTTCAAGCTGTAATTTTTGGGCACTCTGCTGAAGGATTTCTTTCAGAATTTGAATATATGCTTTGTGGTCCATTGTGGATTCTATAAAAACGAGATTTCCAACACCATTGGCCGCCATACAACCCCACACCATTACACCAGCACTTCCATGTTTTACAGTCGGTAGTAAATGGTCTTTGTCCATGGCTGTTCCGCATATTCACCAAAAAATTTCCTTGTCTTTTATGCCCTTGCTCTCATCTGACAAATTACCCTTTTCCAGAAGCTGGGAACCTTGGAAATGTGCTCATTGGCGAAATCCATACGCTATTGACCTTTCCTATTGACCCCAGATACATACGGCTTCCTGCGAGCATCTCGGCCATGATACCCCGCCTTTTTCCAAGTGTGTCGGACAGTTTCTTCAGATACAACTTTGGAGAAGCCTATATTCAAATTCTGAAAGAAATCCTTCAGCAGAGTGCCCAAAAATTACAGCTTGAAGACGAACCACCATCGAACCACAAAAACAGTACCACAGCTACCACAACTCAGACCTTAATTAGTAAATTTAAAAACTAAAATGAAATATATAATAAAATACAAATTTAAATATGAAATGAAATGAAGATTGATAACCTACTTCATGGGTACCCATTTTACGAGCTACTTCATCGGTACCCATTTCACTAGCTACTAGACGAGTACCCATATCACTAGTTCGGGGGTAAACGATGTGGTGTCGCTGGTCCCCATGTCGTAGGACATTGCGGGTAAAAATGGAAATGATGAAAAGCATTGTTAAGGGTTAGTAAAGAAAGTACCCCTGGTCTGTTAGGGAGTGGTGATATCACCACATCTGAACTAGTTCCCAGTACTGCTGGGAAGGAAGAGTTTTCGAACACAAACTATACATACACCCAGCAAAAAAAAAAACGAGGGGGAACACTGTGAGTTGCTGATGTGACCGCAACTCTAAATTTATACCTGATACATACTGTAGTCAGTATGGCTATATTGAGCAACAATGAGTGCGTGCAGGAGCAGGAGAGACACAAAACGTGTCTGAACATGTCGTCGGACGCTGCGTAGCCACTGAAAATTGATTTGTTCCTTTTGGCTATACAAATGATCCGATCTGATCCAGATCTGTTAGATATGGTAATTCTTTATTTTTACGTTGACATGCAATGACTTCATCTTACAAGAGGCGATGCAATTACTGCACCGTCAAGTGGCCCGTGTGA